GTTGCCACAACTACTCTGGCCGTTAAATCTAGAATAGTATTATCATCAGTTATACCTCCATGGCTAACTCGTATATACAAGTTTCTGCGTAACTGCCTACAAACAGCCTAAGCGCCATTATCATCATATTTACTGCTACTGCTATCTCATCATCACTCACTGGAATTACCGCAATGAAATAAGAACTTGCTCTCGTCGCTGTATCGGAATATTCGCGTTTAATAATATACTGCAATATCCCTAGTGTTGCGTTTGTCAAGTGGATTAACTATTGTGACGAAGACTCTGTGTAACATATGGACAAAGGTCTCCCGATTACGGCAGATAATCAAGCTTATGGTCAGTACTATTCTGAAAAATCCGCGAACATTTTTGTCTCTGCATGGATCGACGAATGCCAATCAACGTGGAGGTATCCGCTTCCTATCCCGTTGATTGTTGTATATGATTCATCGATGATTATGAAATTGCAAAGCAAGCGGGAAAGATACCGCAGTACACCTGTGTTCGTGTCGTACTAGCTTAAAGCACGTCCAACGCTAGCGAGTAACTCTTCGCATACACTGGAGTGCTGTTTGTTCCACAATGTTGTGCACCCCGACGACATTCTCGCACCGCCCGATCGTTTCGCGTTCAGGGTTTCTGACGCACGCGTGCAATTGTGCTCATTGCATAACCCATAGTTTTTCGGCTTATTAACAAATGTTGCTCAGTGATCTCAGTACATTGGGATTGAATGATAACTGATACACTTGATGATGATACTCATTCCGCTTACTTATCCTGAGTGATACTTGACTGAAATGATTCATCTGAAAGTGAACTGGCACCCTCATCCCCTGATCACCTGAGGATTATGATGTATGTAATCCGCTTACTTTCTGACCCTTTAAGAAGGTCCTTGAAGAACAACTTTGCCATTCGCTCTGAATCTTGATCCGGAAGCGCCAATTACATCTGTCGATGACAAGTTAGGGATGAATGTTCTCTCCTGAGGGCAAATGACAGTCTGTCTGAAAAGTCAGGCTTCTCAAAAAATCATCACGAGGTCACAAATTTCCCAATTAGATTTTGGGCCCTCTTTGTTGGGGAGTGGAGTTACCGAAGAGCCCCGAGCTACCACCGACCTCTAAACTGGAACGAAATCATAGAAAGTTGGGCATTTGAGGCCTGAATACTCATACCATGTTCGTGGAATAGAATCCTTGGAATAAGTGCAGTTACACAGAATGAACTGTTCATGTTACACTAATGACCTAGCCCGAGCACGCACTGCTTCGGACATTCGAGAGTGGCGAAGATAGCCTATTCGATTGGCGCTATACGCAGGATCCAACACCATTACATCACGTCGCCGCCACATACAACTCTACTATGCACGCGAGATGAAGTTGGAGAATAAGCTCAGTTACGCGAGATTTTTGTGAGGGTTCCGCTGTACATAGCCCATGCTCTTTCGATAATAGCTGTTACATTTGTGCGGTTCCATGTTGTTCTTGAAATTACCCAACATGATTGCATATCGTCCTGCTGCGACACCTTGTAGTTTTCCATAACATCTTGTAACACAAATCACTTCAGTGAAGAGCTGATAGGTGAAAAAGAAGCTCCATTAAGCATGCATGCTGTCCTCGACAACATCTATACAGATTGCTGCATTCAATTTGACATCAACGGCTTCCTGCATTCCCCGCAGCAACAGCCTTGCGTGCACGTGTCCGCTCAGCAACAGGAGTGGCTTCGGCAACTCCCTTCCTATTCCAGTTAGGACGTTTCCTTGGTGGGGAATGCCCCTCAGGAATGAACACCTACACATCCATAAAAAGCAAGGCAGCATTTTCGCAGCCTACAGGAGCAGCAGTCGTCACTTGCTTCGCTCGCCCTCCTCTGTAGCGCTTCTGAAGTTATCATATTCACTATAACCATATCAATCGTTAACTTACTGTTACAGGCTGCCGTTCCCCTTCTATGATCAGAGTCTTACTTCGAGCCTTCCCTCCACCTGCACAACAATCGTGCGAGCGACCACTGCTGCCGACCCTACCCGAGTCGTTGCTGCTCTGCATTCCACTTGCATCCTCCAAGACGATAACAGACTGGCTCATCGGTGGCTTATTCAAAGCGGCCTCTATCACCGCTGAGACCTCAGAATCATAAACTGCACAAAGTATGGTACGTCGAAAAGTAGGTAGAGAGCCTACTGAGAGAAGCCCTTGTGAACTCTCCATCGGGTTGTGTGGAGCACGCCGAACGATTATGTCCACCACCACGTAGGGACTGTATCTCCTTCAAGAGGACCTTCACTTGCGTCTCTGCAGCAACCACACTAAGCGGTCAAGCCCAACCCTGATGACCCCACTACCAGCATCGGCCAGTTCCCTCTTGAGAGCCTCATTCTGGGATTTGAAGTCCGTCGATCTCTTAGCGACTGATGACTTCTTGTTCGACAAGGAGCTCGCCTGTCGTGTGGCCTGGCAGTGGGAACAGCATGGCCAAGGATTCTGCCCTTGTGCGACTCACTCGATCGATCTGACTCTCGAAAGTCTTCTTCTGCTGCTCGAGTTCCTTCTGCCTGTCTTCGAGCATTTTCTCGTACTATAAATAAGGACACAGAATGGCGGGGATGGTCCAGCCGCCGCCGACTACCTTCGCTATACAATTCTCCTTCTCCTGCTTCACTTTCGACAGACGCGCCTACCACAAAATATCCACATCGCGGTGTTGGCCGCAGCTCTCACCTTAAGGGACCTCTTGGCAGCCTCTCCTTCCCTCTCCACTGCCCGAAGCTGCCGCATCAAGTGAGCCATCGCACCTCGATGATCCTCGGCCTCTTTCTTATTCTGAACCACGCCTCCCCCAACTCCCAGTCCAGTCATGGTTACCTCTACATCATACGCACCCTTCGCTTCCTCGATACGCTCATCTGATGGCTCCTGAGCGAGTACTTCTAATAGAGGTTTTATCATGGCCAGTCTGAGGGCAAAAATCATCCATAGTTCTCCTGCTCCTCGAATTGCCTTACTTCTTCGCGAAAGAGCCGCGAAGTGCCTTGTCCATGCAGTGCTGGATCCCGGCTGTCCTGTGGAAGCATGCCAGTGACGTTAACACCGCTGAGGAGGGCATCTCAGTTGAAGATCACCGAGCCTTTCCTACATTCAGCGAGGCAAGTGCGACTGTCCATAGCTGCATTTCCGGGCGCCATATAGTGGTAGAGGCAACTTTACTGACGAGCAACCATGCCATTCGAATGATGATGCAGGCTTAATCAGCGCGCGCCCAGGAGGCTCGAAACGGTCACCAATCTCCCTCTGTTGCCGATCCGTTAACCAACACCACACGGAAGAGGGGATGAACACAACAGCTGCAAAGGCATTACATTCTTGACAGGCTCCGAGGTTGAACCCAACGTCGATAACCCGTCGAGTTGTAACTCTGTCCTCATCAGCCGTCACTTGATCCCTCCTCCTCAGCCTCGAAACTCGCTCGAGACACTTCGTAGATTTGCGGGTGGTTCGGATCCTCAGTCGTCTCAACTATTCTGATCAATGCTTGTAGTACATCACAATAACGGCGAACTGAACAGCTCATGCAACAGGCCAGCACTCAACGATCCCTCTCATCTGCCCAGAACGTGCGACCAGGAATCGAACCCGGGACCTTTCGCTTACGCTCTCGCTTTCGACTTCTCCCACCGTGAGAACCCCACTGCTCATTATTACACTATTTTAATCTAGCTATGGCTCACCAACCTAACAACCGTCCACCCCCTAGTCTTGGACAAGTCGTTATGTCACTTTATCTGAGATCAGCATGCCCTTCCCATCAACGCGATGAGCCTTTCTACTTCCCCTGCTCCACTGTAACACGGACGTCAGCGGCCGACACTAAAAACGGTTCGAAAAAACTTTACGCTGTAGTACACGAACAAGTCTCCATCAAGAAAATGAACTCAACAACCATAGTAAAGTCGAAACCCATGTGTTCCCGCCAGACGTGCATTAGTTGGTTATAATTTGACCATCTCCATCTTCACTCGACTAGCAGGCCGGGATTCCTCTTCTTTGTGTGAAGAAGGCGAGATGAACATGCTGGCCATCGAACCCGTGCCCGTATCTCTGAGAGGAGCTCAAGGAGGCGCTCGTCCCGCCCCGGTGGTCACCTGGTGAACACCCCGCAGTTCACGAAGTATCGTCCTCCTGCCTCCCTGCCGAAGGGCTGCAACACCGATGAGAAAATCTTACATAATTCAGCATAACAAAACGCATCGCTTCGCCTAATGAGCCCACCACTATGTCCGTGTCATCTGGCATTCTCAGGCCTCCAGCTCTAAGTCTGTTAGGGTCCACGGGTAGAGCTGAGGGGCTCAGCGGGAACAGCGATCGATGGGAGACGAACTAAGGGACGATAACGAGCCATGGGAGGAAGCATGCTGTACCTGCTCCAAGGCCAGGTCCACCTTGGTCTTCCCCTCGGGGCTCTTCGTGAGTATCTCTGCAGTGAAAGACCTCAGAGGATCTGATTAATCGATCGATCCTCCTCCCCATAGACCCAATCATCCTACCAGTAGAGCTGACGTACAGCATCATATCGTTGATGCGTATCGAGCAAGGATTTCCTCCCAGCCGCACCTACCACAATCAAAGGCCACCCCTTCTCGAGACGAGCCCTCTACGTGTCTCAACGGCTCCAGGTGCTTGGCAAGGGTAGCCCAGGGTTCATAGGCTTTCATGGCCATCAACCTGTCACGGGAGTCGACAGTGATCATAGGAAGCTGAACGCTCACGTCGGCTGCGGTAAAGGGTAGGGGAAACAGCACTCGTTAAGCGATGGTAGGAGCACTAGCTGAGGGAGGGGAAGGAGGATGAGAAGGCGAAGTAATGCAGCGCTCAATAGAACTTTCTACAAGTGCGTGATGAAACAGTCGCCGGGAGTCGATCCGACAACCTTCACTATGGAAGGCCAACACACTAACCACCAGCCTATACAACCAACATATCCTTTCATACATGTGTCCGCGTCTCTCTGCACGTGAGCGCCAACTTAATCAACCTCGGTAAGATCTCTTTATTAAACGTATCTTCGAAGCTCATCGGCGTCTCAACCTAACACTGCACCATCACACTACTCCCCTCAGTCGCCGCCATCACCTCCTCAGCTACAGTCGCCTCCATATAATCAACATCCATGTAAGGCCCCATGAGGATGAGCACTCCCGGCTTGATATCCGATACGTATCTATAGTGTCGTTGAGGCGGGTCCTCCGAGCCCTCCATACTGAGTAATGACATCCAGTCTTTGGCCGCCCATAACCTTCCCCTTCAACGATTGGAACGGACCGCTGGCGGAAAGCACATGTATGGGAGCACCATCAGCATGAGCCACTTCGAGGGAGATTGCGGGCCTAACATACTCAACTACCCCAACCTGTAGCAAGTGACCATCCCTACTCCTCCCCAGAAGTCTTCCTACTCCACTGGAGACCAGCCCCAGTGACCATCGCCTCAGCCAGCAGCTCACCACCACAGCTGTTGGGACTAGTCCGACCGATAACTCCAACAACACAGCCGGGGAACACTGAGCTCCTCCTCATACAAGAATTACAGCACCTCCTACCAGTGTAGCTGTCCAAGGCCTGTACGTTCAGAATAAGCCTTTTCCCTCTACCACTAGCTCCCGGTCCACCTGGCCAGGAAGGAATCTCGCGAATACGCACACACACCAGGAAGAACACCAGTGAAGATAGGCTCCAGTAGTAAACTGTGGGCGTTGAGGTTCAATGACTCGGGCACTGGTTGGAGGTTTTCATCAGCTTCACAACACACTCGGCCCACCATCAACACAGCCTGGCTATACCTAGACCCCAGAGGTCATCCGAAAGTACTGCAGGGGACCTACTGGGTGCCAAAGACTCCCATTTCGAGGTCCTCCCCTTCCTCCTCCTCAGGGTGCATTGATCGGTACAGCTTATTAGCCTACAGTAGAGCGATGGACCCGACGTTTTTTCGTACCGTCTACGTTGGCGACGATTTCAGTGTATAACCGAGCACAACGCGAGGCCTCTCCTTCCCTTCGACTCTCCACTGAGTTGTCCATCCATCTATACCTGTAACTGAGTATACCTCTGATGAGCCAACGACAGATCCCCACCCTTTGAATGATTCCTCATCGAATCGGCTATGACTAACACGGCTCGCCATACTCCTACAACACAACACTGCGAACTGAGTCGTCGTTCCATTCACTAAACCAAACACCTCTACTCCGTAGAAACGCCTCACAATACTACAAAGCAGCAGTGGCCATAGGTTTACTCAGTCACTACCATCAGCGGAGCCTTCTACCATGATCCGCATAAGAGTATTATACACACGCAAAACCTCAGTGAACGTTGGTGCCCTAAAACTCAATGGCACCTTAGCAACCCTAGTGTCCTTATACCCAGCTTTCAACGGGCCCACAAAAATGGAGTTTTGGTCCTGCCGTGGGGACCCGACAAACACCAGCGCCCTGGGGCTACCCAAGTACTCCCTCCACCGCTCAGACACCACCTCCGACACATCTTGTCGGATCTTGGCGTCCTGCGTGCGCCTCATGAATGCCCCCATCGACTTGGCCTGCTCGAAGTTCCGCTGAGCTCCGCCTTGTTTCCGCCGGACCGTGTACTTCTTAAACGTAGTGTGTTCCACTATCTTGCCATCTTCATCCCACACACACCCAGCAAACCGTCCACTTCGGAAAAGCAGTACAACTACGAACTCAAGGGCACCCCAGACCTCCGGATCGATCGTCGAGGCGAGCGCTATTCGCGGAGAAGACTCAAGGATCTTCCACGGGTAATTATCCATAATGAAGCCCTTACTCGGCAACGCGGTGGAGCCTTCATCACTCTCACTCCCCGACTCAT